TGGTGACCACCTTGCCTGGTGCTGCCTACCAGCCCCACAGAGCTCAGAGCTGCTTCTGGAGGGACTGAGACAGGCAGGGCTTTTTTTAGGTGCTCCGTAAGTGCTGTCTGGGCGGTATTTATATCGGCTCCTTAAATAAGAGCTGCCATCTGAGCCTGACGAGCCTGCTTAATTATTAATGCCCCGCAGGGAAGCAGCACGCCTGCCTGGTCCCGGCACACCTTCCCGCTGGGATCCTGCATCCCAGGCCCCCCCGGCTTCCCACCAGCACCCAGGGCGAGTTGTGACAACCTGGACATCCCAGAGCACCACAGCTTCCCATGGGAACATGTCTTCTGAGGGAGCATCTTCCCAAGGGCAGGGAAGAAGGCTGAGAGGGGATTTTCCAAGAGGAGGGTGCCATGGCATGGGCATTGGTGCAGTTCTTAGAGGGTGTTGGGAATAAGGAGAGAGTGGGAGGCACGGGGTGATTCTCTCCCATCCCATCTCAGTAGCTTGAGGTGGTTCCAGGGAAAATCATTCCTGGAAGCCCCAAGGGGTAGGGACAGCCCTGCTTCGAGACAGAGCTTATGCTAAACAGCACGGGAGGGCAGCTGCTGCAGCAGAATTAATTTGGGCTTGGAAAGTGCTTTGAAAGGCTGAGATGAAAGGCCAGGGCTGGGTACAAAGCGCTGCAGCTCCACAGACAGGGGGAAGGAAACTCCCAGCAAAGAGCCCTCAGTCTGTCGTCAGCCCCTCCAGCCATGGCCCCTCCAGCTCCTCCTGCCCCAGGTGAGGCAGCCTCTGCCTCTGGGACGTTTTGGGGAGGGTTGGTGAACCCCTGAGTTCACCCAGCTGTTGGCTGTGGGGTCCTACCTTGGCTGTGTGTGACCCACCCAGCTCTGGTTTGTGTCAGGGTGAAGGGGCCAAGGCTGCACCGTGGGGGGCTGGGGAGGGGCAGAGGAAGAAGGGACAGCCTTGGCCTGCTCCTGGGATGTGTCCCCTTGCTGTCCTGGCTGTCCCTGATAGCCAGGCACAGGGCAGCATGGTGGGAAAGGGTGCCACAGCCCTGGGGTGCTGGAGACAGGCAGTCTGGCCCAGAAAGGGGTCAGGCAGGACATGAGAGCACCACTGTCCTGCAACCTCAGGGAAGGGGACACTGAAGCCAGAAGTTTCCTCAGCTTGTTTTTCCACCAACATAACTGCAAGAGTCATATAAGTGCTCCCCTGGGCAGGCAGCCCCTTCCTCAGGGCAATCCAAGCAGGAGCTGCCTGGGCCGTGGGACTTGGAGTGACCACCCAGCCAGGGAGCCCTGGGGCTGTGCAGGAGCCTGGGCAGCATCCCAAGGACGGGACCCATCCCAGCCCACACACCAGCCCTGGGCAGTGCCACTCTATGTCCTCTGGTCTTCACAGCTTTGCCAACCACAAGCTGAAGACACCAAGCAGTCAGGTCACTGTTGGTGTGAGGTGTGACAGGTGTGCTGGTGTACCTGTGGTGACAATTCCTGCTGTGGGGACAGGCTGGAACACCTGCACCATGCATCTCCCATGCTGGGCATCTCCCTGGCTCCAAGCAAGCAGACAGGGAGCGGAAAGGCACAGGGGTAGGGGCACATGACTGTTGCTCTCCTGCAGGAAGTGAGGGGTGAGGATTTCTGGATCCATTTTCAGAGCAGTCAGCAGCAGTTCACCCAAGCAAACCTCCAAGTCACAGAGAATTTCCTGCCTTCCCTCACGGTGTCACAAGGCATTGACAAGACGTAGCAGGAAAGGCAAGAAAATGCAAAGAGAAAGTCTCTTCTTCCAGGCCACAGGAATTAACAAAGTGGCACATTTGAACGCAGAGAAGTATTTTTAATCCCACAGGCGGAATCGAGGTTATTAGGTTTTTCTGGGACATCTGCAGAACAGACCCACATCCTTTGGGTCATTGTGATTTCCCAACACAGGAGCTGCCCCAGCCTCTCACTGAGGGGTGTCTGCAGGAACCAGAGGTGGGAAAAGGGGATTTAGTGATGCCCAGCAAGGTAACACTTCCAGCTGCCCGTGCTGCCCACCAGAACCTTCTAACTTGGACCATTTACCACCAAACCCTCACTCCACTACTGCCCAGGCTGTAAAACAGAGGAATTAGGTGTTGTGAGGGGTGTTGATTTATGTATTAGAGCTCAAAAAGTGGGCTGGATTCACTGCAGATAAATATTACAGCCAGATTGCTCCTCTGAAGAATTTACAGCATCATGAATATCCTGTTCTGACCTGTGATGGGGAAGGAAATCATCTGCGTTGGGGAATGTATTTATGGCTCTGGTGCTCTGACAGAAATAAATCAGTATTTGCTCGTTTTGGGGCAAAAACAGGGTCACTGTAAATCGGCAGAGCTGTACTGGCTGAGAATGTGCCAGGTTTATGGAAAATACTAGATAAGTGCAAAGGTTTGTATGGAGAGGCAACAGTTTTTATTAGGACTGTTGATATATTTGGAGAATTGAGGGGAACTTCCAGGTTCAAAAGTACTTCTTCAGGTCTGGGCTTGTGTTCAATATTGTCCATGAGAACCCAGGAATTGTACTCAAGGGATAATATTATTTATTTTCCAAGTTAGAGGATGCATACATCCAGCCCAAATGCAGTAGGATCACTCAAAAGGGGATGAGCAGGGAGTCTGCTCTCATTCATTCACAGATCTGAGCGTGCTTGGCTTGGGTGATGCCCCACAGGTACCTCCAGCTTATTGATAAGGAATGGCAGCAATAGCTGAAAAAATAACTTGGGAACAAAACTCCTTTAATATTCTCTTGCATTCTGCATTTTTTTACTCAAACCCTCTCCCAGGGCGAAAACAACCCAGAGCCCTGCTGCAGAGCACTCTAGAGATGACAGCGAGCCCCCTTGGGAGGATGAATGAGCCTTTATCAGGGAAGAGGAATAAACTGCCCTTGTCTGTAGGATCTCTCCTCGGGATGGCCGGGGCAGTAAACAAAGGCTGGGCACAAAGGCTGTTCTCACTCCGAGCCACGTGCACTGCGGGGTGTGAGGCCAGGGCTGCGAGCGAGGAGACAGCGTCTGATTTTTGTAGAGGAAATGGAGAGGATGCAGGCGTGTTTCTGGTTCTGTTTAGCGGGGGGGGGGGATTTCTTCTGCTCTCGGAAGCTATGAACAAAGGAGGATTTTGTGCTACACAAATCCAGGCGATTCCATTCTCTGTTATTTGCAGAGCAGTGTTAAACTCACAATAAAGACAGAGAGCTTGCCCCAAAAGGGTGTTGCTCACCACCAACGGCATTCCCAAACCAGTTTGTCCCCATCCATATGGGTGAGACTGTGGCCGTGGGCTCTGGGCAGCCACAGCATTGCCCTGAGGACACCAGCACATCCCAGTGCCACCCAGAGCTCCTGTGAGGTTTCAGAAGGAAACCACAGAGCACAAGGACTGGCAAGTGGGATGGCTGAATCTTCCGAGATCATCCCCACACATCCCAAAGCACCTGTGCGAGGACAGTGGCTTTGGGAAGGGCCAGGGACATGTGGCACCTGAAGGACAGTGTTCATCTGTGCATCAGCACTGCCTAGCTCTTTCCAGCCAGCATAAAGTGCTTCCATTGGGATGACTCTGTTTATTAGACCCCTTACCTTTCTCCCAGTGCCACAGCATCCTCTCAGCTCTGCTTTATCCAAAGGCTTTTTAGGAAAACAGGATCCATTAAACCCTTCCCTTTTTCCCAGTGCTGTAGCCTCCTATCAACATCACTTCATCCACAGATTTTTTAGGAAAGTGGGATGTCTTATGGCTGACAGTGGCTCCCCCCATGTAACAGAGCCCCACATGGCTGGAGCAGAAATATTCTCATCCCATGGGTTATCCATGTGTGAGTGCACTGTGTGCCCAAGGTGGCTGTCATTATCCATTATCCAGCCTTGATCTCCAGTGGGAATGCTCTCCTCTGGATCAGGACCCCAGACATGGTGGAAAAAAGGGGACAGGGGAAAGCAGGGGACAAGGGGGTTTGCCCTGAGATGTGTCACCACAACCTGGCCCAGCACTGCTACACTGTCAGAGACCTCAGGCACAGCAACACTGGCATTCTCCACGGGAGAATGGTGCACGGGCTGTGAGTGGGACCAGGATGGGAGCAGGTTTAGGTTTTGAGGGGATCAGGGTTTTCAGTGGAATCTGGGTGTGAGTGGGCCTCAGCAATGAATGGGTTGGGACTGTGGGTGGGTTCAGGCTGTGAGTGTGACCAGGACATGAGTGGGTCAGGGCCTTGAGTGGGTCTGGTCACAAGTGGGACCAGGCTGTGTGTGGGTCCAGGCTCTCAGACCAGGCTGTGTGCGGGTCCAGGCTCTCAGACCAGACTGTGTGTGGGTCCAAGCTGTGAGTGACCCCGGGCTGTGAGTGGGCACAGGCTGTGTGTGGGCTGTGACTGGGCCTGGGTTACGAGTGAGCACGGTGAGCACGGGCCGGTGCGGTGTGTACGGGCTCTGAGCAGGCCTGGGCTATGACTGAGTCCACTCTGTGCCAGTCCAGCCTGCGGGTGTGCCTGGGCTATGGGAGCGTCCACGCCCTGAGCGTGTCCATGGTGCCAATGGCTCCTGGGCCATGAGAGGCACCAGGCTGTGAGTGCGCGTGGCCTGCGGGCGGCTCCCTGCCGCGGGTGGGTCCCTGCCCTGCGTGGGCCCCTGCCTGGCGCTGTCCCGCAGGTCCCTCCCGAGGGCCGCCCGTCCCACGGTGCCTCCCGCGGGCCCCCCTCACTCCCCCGGCGCGGGCCGCGCCCTCCGCGGCCCACCCGGGCCGGGCTCCGGTGAATCAGCACAGGCGGGGCCCAGGGGGGCGAGGGGGCGGTGCCTTGGCGCGGGGCACGACGGGAGATGTAGTCCTTGAGGAGGTGCTGTGCTGCATGAACCCAAGGACGCTTCCGCACCTGAGGACTTCATCTCCCGTCGTGCCGCGCGGGCGGAGGGGGTGGGCGTGGCATCGGGGAGGGGCGGGGCGGGGCGGGGGGGGGGCGCGCAGGGGGGTTGTGGTGGCCCGCGGCGCGCGCACAGCACCGGGCGCAGCCGCCGCCGCCGCCTCAGCCGCAGCAGCGCCGAGACCGCCGCGCCCTCTTCGTCCTCCTCTTCCTCCTCCTTCCTCCTCCTCCTCCCGGAGCCCGCAGCCTCCTCGCCCCTCTCCCCCCCGGACCCCGCGAAGATGGTGGACCGCGAGCAGCTGGTGCAGAAGGCCCGGCTGGCCGAGCAAGCCGAGCGATACGACGACATGGCGGCCGCCATGAAGAACGTGAGTCCCGTCCCGCGGCCGTCGCGCTCCCCACACACACGCACACGCCCTCCTCCTGCCGCGCCGGGGCCGCGCTCCCCTCGCCCTTCCCGCGTGTTCCCCGCGGTGAGTGCTGGGCTCGGCCGGGGGGGGCCCGCGGGGGTGCGAGGGCCCCGGTCCCTCGCCCTCCGACACCCCCAGCTGAGTCCCGCTCCCGCCGCTTTTCCCGATCCAGGGTTACCTTGCTTTCTCCCGACCCCCATCCCCTGCCTTAGAGCCCCCCACGCATCCCTTCTCCTGTTATGCGCCCCCCACCCAGCCCCACTCATCCTGCTCCTCTGTCCTAGAGACTCCTCCCCACATCTTCCGCCTGTTCTGGGGCTCGCATCCAGCCCCACACATCGCTCTCTCCTGCCCTAAACACCCCCCCGCATCTTCTCCCGTATTCCGGGGCCCCCGTCCAGTCCCACACATCCCCCCTCTCTGCTCTAGAGCCGCCCCCCATCCTCCCCCTGCTCTAAACCCCCGCGCTTTGCCCCCCCCGCCCTTCTGCCCTGCCCTGCTGCCCCCACCCAGCCCCACGCATCCCCTTCCCCTGCCCTACAGCACCCCCACATCCTCTCTGCCTTAAAACACGTTGGCTCCGCAGCCCTGCAGCCCCCCACATCACCTTCCAGCCGCATTTCTTCTCGCCCCCCACCCCAGATCCCCTTCCCATGCCCCCCTCCCCGCCCTGCTCCAGCGTGGCGGGGCACAGGAGCCATCCCGGGGGTGCAGCGCTGCCCAGGGGGGTCACACCGGCTCGGGGCCCCATGGGGCGAGGCAGGGGGGGACCCGGTTTGGGGGGGGGGGTTGCGTGCACACCTCTCCCCGCTGCCGAAATACCTCCCCGTACATCCCTTCCCACGCGTGGTCGCCGGGGCTGGTGTGTGCCCCTGACCCCAAAGATCGGGAGCCCTTTCACTGTCAAAGCTCTTATTTTTACTGCTCTTGGTTGGAGATTTATGAATTGAGTCATGTTGTATTCATTTCACGCTCTTAAAATAAAGACTCTGCATATAGCAGGCTGATCTGATTTGTGACACTGAACGCTCCCCTTCAATACTGACATTTTGACAATATAAGAAGGGAAAAAAAAACATATCTCTGATCTGATCTTGCAAACAAAGCAATCGTGGGAGGCAGGATCAAGTCATTCCAGAAGATTCTGCATTTGTCATATTGCAGAGAGGCTAGACTGGGTGGAGGGAGGGAGGGGGTGCTTTAAAGGGGAAAACTGTTCTTTATGTTTGTCTTCTTAGTCAGGTCTGAACCTTTGCTGGGAGCTGGGGTGTCCTCCCCGGCTGATGAAAAGTGAATGCCGATCTGGGAATGTCGCAGTCTGCCGTGGGTGCAGCTCTGTTTGCCCATATTGCACCATTTTGTCAATAACCTTGCATTTATCAAACAGACTAAACTGTCACAGCTCGAGCCCGGGGAGGGAGGAGATGTCTTATCAAGGAATGAAATACGGATAATCGGAACGAGATATTATCACATTAAACCAGCCGGGCTGTCCCTCTGCTGCACTGTGGCTTTTATACCATTTTCTGATAGTGGCATCTATTCATTTTAAAGCAAAGCCTGCTGTGTGAGCAGATCCTACAGCTCATTTCCTACGGATAATACAACCACCGTGACAAAGCCAGCAGGGATATGCCCGGGACTCACAGCCGTGTTGCACTGTGAATTTCTCTTCGCCTGCTTCCCTGGGCTTCGTGCTTGAACCCCAGGCGTTGTTAAGAGCTCATATATGTGATTTTTTTTTTTTTTTTTTTTTTTTTTTTTTTTTTTTTTTTTCCTTCCAGCCCTTACGGGCCCTGGTGAAACAGTAACCCGGGCTAACGCCTCTTATCAGCTGCCGGGTAGTTTGGCCGTAAGGAAACGATCCCCAGCGGGAGCGCTGACGCCTCCCTTCACCAGCAAACAAAAGGCAGAGCTTTGTTCTTCCTTTCTGCTCCGCGCTGCCCCAACTCCGGCACGGCCGGTCCGGCGGCCACGGGCATGTCACAGCCATGTCACAGCCGGTTATCCCCGTCCCCGTGCGCTGCCCAGCCCCCAGCCCCGGTTGTGCGGGAGGCTGATGACCTCGCACTCATTTCCGTAGCAACGCCTAGTGATGTCATATGCCATGGTCCAAGCTGCAATGCACCCAGGCGGTAGCAGAGAGCATGCGGGCTGCGCCTAGCGAAGGTGATGCAGAGCCATCCTGCCCTCCAAACCTAGCCCTCCCCAGCACCCTGCTGAGAAATGCTGGATGCTTCTCCTTTCAAACCTCTCCCCGCAATGGTGGGCATAAAAGAGGCTCGTTTTCCTGCAGCTTCCTCTCACCTGTGATGGCTGCCTCACATGGGCTAGCTGGGTGGGTTGTTCAGCTTCAGCTCTGTCTACTTGGGAACCTGTGCTGAATGGCTGCTGTGTTAATGGTTTAAAATGGAAGTGGTCTGCTGGGGTTCTTGCTGTCTGCTGATTCATCCAGTGATGTCTAGGATCGCAATAATTTCTCTAAAGTATTATTTATTATATAATAACTTCTAGCTGCTTCCTTCTTTCTTGCAAGTGCTAGCTGCTAGTGCCCCTAATTGCTACCTGCAATTATGTTGCTGCTGCAGGAGCAGGATTGCTCCTTCAGCTCCAAAAGGGGCAAGTTTACTGGAGGGTCTTTGAAAACACAGCAGATGGTCCCCTTGCCTACCAGAGGGAGCAGGAAGTGATGCCACACCCAGGAAGGGTGTAGGGCTGGGCCCATCAATCCAGAGTATGTCTTCATGACCTTGGTCCTGTCCCTTGTCACCTCAGTGCTATCTGGGGGTACCATCAGCCTTATCAAGTATTGGGGGACAGGAAAACTCTGCTGGTCCCCAGGGTGGTCAGACATTGGCCTTGGGCTTTCTTGCTCGAGTTTCACTTCCTACAGTGCTGGTGGTTGGAGCAGGATGCGTTTTTGTCTGGTTCAGCTTCAGGAAGAGCTTTACTGTCTGAGCCCACACCAGGGCTGGGGATCGATACCCATTAGCTGGGGAGAGCAGTGCTGCTGGAGGCTTTCCGGAGCTGGGAGCCCTGCCAAGCCCCTGGCCAGCACTGCCCAGGGAGCAGAGCACATGCCTCCCCTCAGACCTTTCTGTTGAGGGGATGTGCAGGTGAATGAACCAGATGATTGCAATAACTTATGCAGGAAATAAGTAGTCTTTTAAAAGTGTGTGGGGAAAATTATTGCACTGCAGCTATGTATGGTGTAGATGTGGGGCTGTCCCCTGTGAGAGGAACACCTGACTGCTTGACTTTGGGGGCCCAACCTCTGCAGCAGGGCCTGTTCACAAGGACCACCAAGTGTGGGTGTGGAGGGGGAATTTTGGAGATACTGGAAAGCAGATGGCTGCTCTAAGCTTTAGACACCACAGCTTGGTGCAGTAAATGGCCATTGTGGGTGGAGGAGGAGCATGAGGATGGGGAATTGCAGGCCTTCCCTGGCACGGGGTATGTGGGCTTCTCCCGTGATGGTCACCAGCTGGGCAGGTTATCATCCCCCACATCCAGTGTATCATTGCTGATAGCAAAGCTTCACACAGACAGCAGGCTCACCCTTGGAAAAAGGGGGTAGTAAAACAAATCCATCCTGTCTGGAGAATCCCCAGGGAGCAGAGCAGCAATGATTAGCTGCTTTCTGCTCGCAGTGTACACAGACAAAAGGGTGGTGTGGAAAGGCTTCTCCAGGAGGAGTGCTGGGCAGGCCATCTGTGATGGTGGGAGGGGACCAAGGAGTGCGAGCTGCTGTAGTAGCACTTCCCAGGGGAGCTGGGGAAGGCTTTGGAGAAACCATTCCCAGTGCCGAGGTGGATGTTGCAGTCATTAGCTGTTGGCATCTAATGGCAGCATTGATGCTCTTGTGCAGGCAGCTTGAATGCTGTGCCTCCAGACCACTGGTGGGCTGCAGTGGTGGCAGGGATTGGAGGCAGCCTGACTCATGACCACTTCCTTCCTGGAGGTCTGTGGGGTCGGGACAGGATGGTGGCTGTCAGGAGCTCCTGTCCTTATGACCTTGTGGCAATTCTCAGTGTGGGGCTGTCTCTGTGCAACTTGGCCTTGGGACCCTGTAGCAGTAGCCTGAGTCACATCTGCACCCAAGCCATAGGTAAGTAGCAATGTGCCCTGTATGTGACTGCAGTGGACATTGCTACAGTAACTGACCAGTCTTCAGCAGATCAAGCTCTTAAAAATTCCTCTTTGAGCTCCTGTGAGTTCTTACTTAGTCCATTTAGGAAGAGCCACTGGCCTACAAGACCATGCTGGGTTTCTTAGTTGGCCAAGTGTAGCAGCCATGGTGGATTTGACCCAAAACAGCTCTTCTTGAACTAAAAAAAAGTGATATTGAGACTGTGATGATAGCAGTTGAATTATATCTGGGGGCACAGAAACAGGAAAATTTGGGCAAGGGTTCTCCATGAATCTCTAGATTATTTGGGCTTAGTGAGTAGATCTCTTGGATGATGTCTAACCATGAAAATGCAAAAAGGTTGGTGGGAGTTGTCTTGATCTATTAGGTTTCTTTTCAACCACCTTTATTTGCTGCTTCTTGTGTAAAAAGATGTCTGGTTCACAGAAGATTCAATTGTTTTAGCACACCAAGTAATCTTAATAATGTCAGTGGATAAGCCCTATCTGCCCCAGATGTGTTCACCAGCTGATCCCAGAGTTACTCTCTGGAATAAACTCTTTGGATACTGATGATGTGTACTTGGGCTTGCTGGAATATTCAGGGACAGCAATTTAGGGACAACCATAGAACTTCAGCTCCAGAAATGTTTCCTGGATTAAAAACTCCTTTATCTAGGGGTATATACACTGTTCTTGGCAACTGGATGAGGTCTTTGGCATCCTCTTAGTGGTTCTCATGGATGTCCTGGACTGTGCTTTCAAGAGGGTTATCCACATAACTGTGGTGTATCCCTCTGCCTCCTGCAGCTGGGATATGGTTTCTGATC